AATTTATACAGTGTGTCCACCATATTGGAAAATTTTTTATTCTTAATTTTATGAAAAAAAGTAATTCTTTATAAAAAGTTCGCATGGTACAAAACTTGCAACCATCAGATATCATTTTTTTAAGCCGTATACGAGGTTTGTCAAAAAATGTGAATATGAAGAATAAAGTACCTTTATTTTTGACAAACTTCGTTTACGTTTAATAAAATTTGATATGTGATGGTTGTATTTTAGGTTTTAGACTATGCTTGACTTTTTATGAAGAATAACTTTTTTTCCTAATAATAATAATAAAAAAGTTTCTCAAACTGTCTACGTAAGTTGGTGGCATATGTACATTGCACAGTGAATCCTAATAACCAAAATATTTTGCCGATATTCTATGTAGTTTCATGGCTTTTTTTCATACCCGTAAAGCAATAAAACCACTGATCTGTATTATTTTACTGGATAGGTTATAGCCCCCTAAAAAACGTTCCGAAAAATTGGCCGATTTGGGCAAATAATATGGCGGACCGGATGTTATTTAACGTAACCTCTATTTCCATTTGTCATCACATTTGTCATTTAATTGTGTCAACAAGCTACGATGAGATGTTTTTATTGTGGAAAACAAAGTAAAAAGAGTATGAAATAATAAACGTTCATTCCTGAAGACACAATATGCTTCACGTTTCCATTTTTATATTTTCTTTCATAAAAAATCAAATCATGGGTGAAATTTCCCGAAGGACATTGCCCGCAAAAGGAATAGAAGAAGAATAAGAAGAAAAACTAATCAAATTATATGTTAGGTATGTCAAATTATCCCAAATTTCAGTTCTGTGAACCCACCATAATTTGCCCAAATCGGCCAGCATTGTTGCGCTTCCGGTCTCCTTGGTGGAACGATTTTTTAGTATGTTAAATATAGCCTATATCCAATCCAGTAAAATAATACAGATCAGTGAATAAAACCAACTATACCTTAAATTTGAATAGACCGAAAGCATGAAAAACATTGAGCAATGGGCAATGGCGCTACTGCTTAGCGTTTATAAACCATTTAAGAGAAGGTAGGAGTACAAATGACCGTTAATTAAATTTATTTATTTTAAAATTCTTGAAACGCGTTCTTCATCCAACAATATCTTCATGAAGAAATTTACGAATAAATTGATGAATTTATTCACGATAAATTAGTCTTAGATTTGTGAAAAAATTTATTAAGTTTAGTGTCATTGGTCAGTTTACAAGTTTACCAACAAAATAAAAACAATTTTAAATGAGGTTAAGTGTTAAAAGTTATAGATATGACCTGCACTGAACAACTTTATTGCGTACAGTGCATGACAGGAACCATACACTATGATTATACCGTATCTAGGAACAAACCTAATAAAAACAAAAGTATTCAATAAGAAGACAGAAAAATGGACCATGATTATTCACGTAAAGTTTGGTTTTTCGTCTATCAATTTCTTGACGTTATTACTTTATGATGAAATTGGCAGAGCTAAAGCTCGCTTTAAAGATACTATAGTTGAATCCGGAAATAATAGGCAGTGTAAAATAGAAAGTCAGGAATTTCTGACGTATGCTGACAGAGTTGCCACATGCAATATCTAGTATATACCCGCCAATGAAAAGTTTAACCTCTGAAATCTCAACCGATATTTGGAGCAATAACAGGTGTCAGCGTTCTTCACACATTCCATATATTTCAATTTCATTTTATTTGTGCAACCAGTTACAAAATGCCTTATTTTATGTAACGAGTTACATAAAATGGCATTTCGTAACGTGTTAAAACAAATATTTTTCTAATTTTGAATAGATTATTTATAAAATTATGTTTTGGTAAACCATTACTGACATCTAGGCAGCTAATATTACTCTCTTGTAGTGTTAGTTGCATTTGCATCATTTTATTGACAAATAGAACTTCATATTAATTTATTCTCAACGACTTGTAGTGTGTTTGTGTATATTGCTTATTAAAGTTATTTCATTTTCCAAAAGTGGGTTATATTTTGTTGTTTATTGTGTTTTAATTACTTTGAGCTGATTTAAAATGGAAAATAAGGATCAAAACAATATTATTACTAGATTGTAAGTTTAACAAAATTTTATTTTTATAAGTCAACTTGCTCTTCTTTAATAGGTCTTCAACAATACCCGAAACCCACGTGATCTGATAACCATCAAAAACCCATCGAAAGGGCCTGATTTGACGTAAAAGGAACTAAACTAAACTGTCAGTCCTGTCAGAAATGTCACTGCGTTCATTTGGGGACTGACAATTATATTACATTTGTTTACATTTTATAAACAACTTTATTCCATTTTTCATTTAATATTAATAAAGCAATTAGTTATTTTTAGAGATTATGTGTGGCTTAATTCTTTTTTGTTGGTAAGTGTTAAAGTATATTACATTACAGTAATTTCAATGGCCTAGTATATTTAGCGTACTTTGATTTTATATAAAGTGAAGTTTTACTGACAAAATAGTTTTTGTATGTCTTTCAATAAATAATATTTTCTCACAATATGTTTCGTTTAACTGTACATTACTGAGGGTTTTAATCCACATTAACATGGTAGCAGAGCGTGGTTACCCTGTTGTACAGTAGTTTGTGAGCAGTTTTCCTGTACACCTTTAAGCTAATATGGATGTAAGCAGAGTTCAGATAGGGCTGCTTGAAGGACAGTCAAATTGGAGTACATGGACATATAAAATATGTATTCTGCTAAGAGGGGTCGCTGGTGCTATGGAAATTTTAGAAGGCACATTAAGTACTCCTAATCTGAAAGAAGGTGCTTCACAAATTAACATGGTGCAAATGCCCAATAAATTAGTAAAAAAAAACAGCACCTCAAACAGGTATGAACGGTGTTTCAAGGAATGACTCTGACGAGTGAAATTCAAAACATATTTTTTTAGGTTTGTCGCCACGAACTAGCCATAAAGTATTGAAAATATTTCTGATAATGCATCCCCTATAAAGTTTCGGTACTGCAACAATCATTTTACCTTAATTTTGTTAAACCTACCTATGGAATATTACAGATAGCTCAATTCGAAAACGTTTGGGTGACGTTTATGAACTGTACTTAGCACCTATAGTAAATGAAATACAAAATATAACTGAGGAGAAACTGCATAATGTGTTCAAAAAAGAACGATTAATGCTTGCATTAAAGCTGGTGGTAAAAATTTTGAACAGATAAGTACCTACTGTGAATTAGTATCGTTTGTGCACCACCGATTACTATTCGATATCCTTTTAAATAAAATAGTTGTATGCCTTTATAATTTAAAGTTAAAAGTGAGAGCTGTAATGTAAAACAAATATGTGCTTGTTACATAAATAATATTAATATTTTTTTGTATAAATATAAGTAACATAATGTATTTAGTAAATGGTTTAAACCCTGTAACAAATAAATAGAACAAATTTAAAAAATTATTTGATTATTACTTTCCATTGCCCAGGTACAATTCCAGTAAGTTATAAATTTGTTTACTTAAACTGCAATAATTGCCAAATACTGCCATTGTCTTCCGCCTATCGTATTTAAAGTTTCAGCTGTAGCTAAATATCTTAGAGTCAATCTAAAGTAAATAATTTTTAATTTTATTCATATTTTAATGCATAACATTTTTTTGTCCAAAACTTTCTCGCGCCCTGTTCTGGTAAAATTTTTTTTGTAATAGTGACAATAACTAGTACGAACCTTATTTCAGTTTATTATTATTTTCGTTAAATACAAACTAGATATAAATAGCTCAGTTTTTAAGGTTATGTTAATTATATCACATAGATAAATTTTTATCTGTTATATCATCATTTAAAAAATTAGATTATTGCATTTGACTAAATCTAATTAAAATATCGAATTCTAACGTTAAAATACAATAATGTAAAGCACCTCTAATTAATAATATAATATTGTGTTGTAATTCTAACAGTTACCTAACTGAATTTTGTTCTCGTAGTTACAGACCATAAAAAAATAAGATCTACTTTGTAATAAAATACCTACGGCCACATACTTTGATTACTATACGAGGCAAGAGAGAGGTCCGACACGCCCAACATAGGGCGCGGCCATTTTGAACCCTGTGACACAGTTTACAGCTAAAGAATCAGATTGCTCACTCTGCGTCGGCACTTTGGATCTCAATGTTTCAGTTTATACACTGTGCAACTCGGATAATACAATATATGACAACCGCCTATAATAAAACAGCAGTCTTCTGCGTATCCTGAATTTGTATGCCTGGAGTTGATGTTATTTTGGAACTTTCAACTGGTCCGAGTGAGCTAACTGATTCTTTAGCAATAAACTGTGACTTCAAAAATAATATTCACTGACACTGACAGCAGCAAGCAAAATATCAGGTGCGTTTTAATCATCCGCTTCTGCTTCCGGAATTGTCGGTTTAGTCGTTTTAACCTGTCAGATTAAAACAAGAAAACTGACAATTCCGAAGCAGAAGCGGATGATTAAAACGCACCTATTAAAAATATTGCGCCAAGATGTAGGCAACACGTAATAAGGGTTCAAAATGGCGGAGTTTTCTATCTCCTTTTAAGAGGCACTCAGAAAGCTGCGCAGTGCGACCATTCTCCGTATAGTAAAAGAAAATCAAAGTATGTGCCTACGGCACTGGTTCATATCTAGGGATTTTTACTTTTATTTTCACCAATCGCTGTCATGACGATTTGGTCACGTGGGTTTCGGTATTGTTGAAGATCCATAAACTTTCAATAATAATCTAAATGGTGATTATAAAACCAAAAAGAAGGTTTATTTCTATTTGTTTTCCTTTCGCAACCAGTTTTATAATGTTCAACATTTTGCCACTTGCTGCGAATACAAAAAATGTTACTTTATATGTCAAAATTAGAAAAAAATTTGATTTATAGTTTTCCATTAATAAAAAAATTTGAGTGGTCTATTTCACTTATCTTTTAGAGAAAGGCACCGCCTAAAAAGTTTGTATTTATTACCTGTCTAGTTTTGTAATTTTGCCATGGACCAAATTAATATATGTTTTTAAACTGATTTTATCCATATATCGCGAATCCCAAAAATTTTTCTTAGTCATAAATACGTCTCTGATCTTCGGATTTACTCTGTTATGAGTCAATCCGTTCGCACATAATAACGTTATATTATTATATGTCACCTAGAAGACAACAATGATTGGATTCAGACGCGTTGGACGTTGGATTTACATGTATATTACTTACCATATAATTTGGGGTTTGTTTGAATAATAGAGCTTGAAGAAATGATAAGGCGGTGTGACTACATCCTATTATTAAAATTTTTGTGTTTACTACATTTTTGCCGAGACTGGAAAGGGGTAGTGTAGAAACATAGAGGGCGAATGCTTCTTGTTTTTCTACTACTTTATATGCTGGAGCACATTCTAAAAAATAAAACAGAACAGAAACATATGGTAAATATTGGCCATTTACTTTAAAATTGGTTAGTTTTAGAGCGTTCTCTGTTAGCGAGTGTAGGTGTCACCAGATATAGGCTAAGAGGATACGTAAAATATCGTTATATATAAAGTCTGGCAGGTTAAAATTAATTTGTGTACCTTTGGACTATCTTTTCTCCACATTTGATGATGGGGTTCTGATGGCAATCGAACAAAGGGATACTATCGAGTTGTATTACGCTTACAGTAAAAGCGAAATCTAAAGAACCAAGGACACGTATTTATATTGCTACAAACACGCCGACCGATGAATAGAATTGGTAGCTTACCTAGAAAGTTGTAAACCAGGGGCGAGTATATTTTAAGACATAAAATAAATGGAAAATAGTGAGTGATGCTTGTTCATACATATTGCTTAGTGTTATTATTAGTACATAATTCTATAGTCAATTAAAAAATCATTATTTTTAGGTAAGACGACTTTAGGTTAAGGAGAGCTCTGGTGGTCTAGTATTTTGTATTTTAACTGACATTAATTTTTTTATAAATAAAATATGAAATAATATGTATATGAAGTAATATATCCTTCTGATTTTTTATACCGGGTCTTCATTTCAAAACTGGATAGTCCAAATAACTTCTGATTTTACGTAAATTTAAGAAAAACAAAAAAATATTTAATTTTATATTATATAGCCTATAAGTAAATACAAACAACGTAGACAGTAAATAACAAATAAATAATGTTCATATGTCTTCGTTAGATTCTTCTTTGGAAGAAGACTCGTCACTGTCGTCACTGGAATCCTCATTAGGATTAATGACGATATGATTAATTTCCGAATATAAATCAGTTAGTATTTCTCTTTTAAAATATTCATCTTCTACCTTTATAACATGATCGCATCGCTTTTTCCATTCCTCCATACCTATTTTATTAAAGTCTTTTTCTGCTAATTATTTTACGTCTTCTAATTTAAAGGTAACATTCCTTTGACTGACATTATTCTTAACAGTTGCCCAAATCAATTAAATAGGGTTCAAGTCGGAGTGATATGGGGATAACCGTAAAGCAGTGTGACCGTATTCTCGACACAACTCATCAAATGCCTATGTTACATGTCGGTCCTTATGAGATTTAATCAGTTCATATAACTCTGGTTTCAAACTTGTTGGATTAAAAGGTATGTTGTATTTTGTCAACCATTCGATAATATCATTCTTCAAAGAATTGGAATTAGGTGCTCGATTTGTCTGTACATTGTGATAACTAGCATTATCACAAACAATTACTGAATTAGGTGGAATATTAGGTATTAACTTCTCTCTTAACCATTTGCCGTAATTTTCCGAATTCATTTCGGAATGGTAATCTCCAGACTTGGGCCCTCATTTAAATATCAACAAACTATTTTTGATAAAACCCATTTCTCCCCCACCGTGAAATATAATAAGCCTTTGGCCTTTAGAAATAACAGTGAACAAACTTTTTGTTGAATCGTCTGTCCAATTCTTGGAAGAAGTATGTCCACTGTGTATATATATGTTTCATCTAAATAAACGATTGGTCTATTTTGACTTCTAAAATATTTTATGTCTCAAATATTTTACTTTTAAAGTTTTTATTTTCATTTTTTCCACCAAAACTTTACGATTATTTTCTGTTTTTCTTCACTTAAATTATAATTTTTTAAGGAATCTTCTTAATGAAGTTTTTGATATGTGGATATCTAAATCTTCCTTAATTTTATTATTTAACCTTTTAACACGAGACTTTTCTGTTATATCAAAATCGAAAATTATTCTTCGAATGTCCCTTAATTGATATTCAGGGAGATTCGTAGCGGTTGATTTTTTGACGAAGTTTTTCCTAGGTGTGGAAAATGTAATTTTTCCAGTAATTTACCTTCCTTCAAAATTCATTTAACGGTGGTATAAGAAACACCTATAAAAACGTAATATATTAATGTTAAATTTAGTATTTTTTTACATTTATTAGGAAACAAAAATCTTTAGAAACAGAAGATAAATTTAAAAAAATTAAATATAAAATATTAATCAAAAATAAAATGCAAAGATATGTGTGTAAAATACAAAAAAATATGGAAAACTACGCAAGTTTAATTTTGCAAGTAAACTACAGAATATGTTTACCTGTTGCTTGTGCAGTTTAAAGTTTGATATCATCTAAATTAACTCCTTCCTTTTTTGTTGCTTCAAAATATTTAAAAACATTGTAGATTACTTCACGACTTTGTCCGTTAACAACAGATCCTCGCTTTTTTTCACCCACAATAGAAGACATCAAAAATAAAACCAGTCACTTTAACCAAAACACAGAAACAAGAAACAAACAATGATCTAGTCGTTGCGCTACTGACCGTAAGCAAGGACAAGGTTCAAATTGTGAACGTGGCGATTTTTAAGTAAACGAACTTGAGCATTTGCGCTGGTTCTTTAGATTTGGCGTTTACTGTACCTGATTTAATCCAGCAGAGTCAAATGTTGCCCATTTTTGACCATCAAGTTGTGCCACAAAATTGAAATCAGGTAGTTATAAAATATATGATAAATATATTAAATTAAAAAAAAAAACTTAACCAATGTATACAACCTGTACGGCCTAGAACCACGGCGCAAAAAAGTACACATAACAAAAAACTTATCTACGTAACCTATGCGGCCTGAAGCCATCAAAGGGCTGCTTCGCCAAAAAATTATACATTAAATGTGAGAAAAAAAAAATTAACAAAACTACCTAACCTCAGTGACCTGGACCTAAACCTGTTAAGTTTGTTATAAGATTTTATTATTAAAAGGTTAATCCCCTCTAGAAATTCGGTGGTGCAACTAGAAGATAGAATTATATCTACCTGATGTCCCGTGGTACAACTTGGCGGTCCCGAAACAAAGACATGTTTGGTTAAACAGTAAACAAATATATATTTTTAAGTTTGAAAGATTTCATTATCTCAAATGTGGTAACGTTAGTCAATAGAATACCTAAATAAAACTCAAAATCAGTACCTCATAAAAATAATATAAAAAGAATAAAAGCAATAAATTTTTTTTTCTAATTTTGACATATAAAGTGACATTTTTTGTAATTGCAGCATGTGTTAAAATGACATGTTCTCGCAATCAGTTGCATAATGTTGAACATTATAAAACTGATTTTAAAAAATTTATTGTGTCACTAGTTGCAAAAAGCAAAATAAAAATAAACCTTTTTTGGTTTTATAATCAATAATATTCTTTATTATTGAAAGAAGAGCAGGTTGACTTATAAAAATAGAATTTGGTTAAACTTACAGTCTAGTAATAATGTTGTTTTGATCCTAATTTTCCATTTTAAATCGGCACAAAATAATTAAAAAACAATACTCGATAAAAATTACAAAATAACTTTAACTTTAACAAGCAATATAAACATGCTACAAGTCGTTGAGAATAAATTTATAAGATTATATAGTTATCAATAAAAGAATGAAGTTATGCAACTAACAATACAAGAAAGTAATATTGGTTACCTAGATCTCAGTAATGTTTTACCAAAATACAATTTTATAAATAATTTAATCAAAATTAGAAAAAAGATTGTATGTAACATATTACGAAATACCGTTTTATGACTCTCGTTCATGTTGCGGAACCTCGCTCTGCTCGTTACAAATCTTCACTCGTTACATAAAATAAGGCATTTCGTATTTGGTTTCATAAATAGCTATTATTTAATTATTTAAATAATTTAAACCGTTGGTTATTTAAAAATTCGTTAATAGTTACCTTCGTTGTTTAAAACATCCATGTCATATTGAGGTTCTATAATGGGCATTATGGGTAAAAAGTCCATTAAAAGATTCATAATTGGCCTATCTCTGTAACTCTCAGAACTATCATAAGCAGAGTGTCTGTAGAATAATATGTCAAATTCACATAATCTACAAATATTAGAGTTAATAGTAAAATTTGATTAGATCAGCGATTCACAAAGTGTACGCCGGTACGAAATATTGCTAACATCGTTATAATTAAAAAATCCAGAAGTAAGAAAGGAAAATATATCAAAACACGCCAAATAAAAGCTGTTTAAAATTATGCACTAAATCGTTGTTTTTACAGTAAGAATATTTCTATCTACCAAGATATCGTCGGTTGACAGGTAAAACTCATTAGGTACCAATTATGATAAAATATATATTTTGAAAGATTTAAATTACTTTTTTGACCCTAAATTAACCTCGTACATAAGTATCCCATTGTGTAATTTTTTTTTATTTCTTGCTTATGATTAGTACTACTTCGAGAAAGGGCGCAATGGAAAAAGTTTAGATACCAAACTCGAAAAGTTTTGGAACCACTGGGTTAGATGAAAACTGGTACTAACCACAGATGTTGAGTCGCTTTAACTGTTTTTTTGTATTGGATTAACTGGAAACACTTTCACGCATCCCTCTGCTCCTTCCCCTCCGAGTAATTCCGGCAGACTCTCCCCAATTAGGCTTGGGTCCAGACATTGCCTCCCCTCAATAGGGCTTGCTTTCCCTGCTTTTGAGGTTCGCATTGCGGCACTGAAGCGCGTATGGCCTATTGTGCCACCATTTGGATGCGCATCACGCTTAAGGTTTTAAAAACCCAAAGTTTTCGGACCGCACATAAATGCTTGGTGGGTACCAGGTTGAGTATGGGTATTTTTTATCTTTAACTGCAGTTTCAAAATAGCAACCCTTGAAACACAAAAGAAACAAATACCTGTCTGTTTACAATTGTATGCCTTGTAATAAATTAAACTTTCTGATTTCTCTATTTAAAAATAATATTTTACTACCTGATGATGACCATAATGATCTAAAACTTGTTGTTTGTGTGGTTATTTTTAAGAAAGAAACAAATAAAATAAAAACCTAAAATATTTCTCAAAACTTGGCTATAAAACAAAATATTAATTAATTTAGAGATACATTTCTAATGTATAATAATGGGCCTATGATTACAGTCTAAAGACATCACGTGACGTCGCATATCCACAAACTCATCCCTTCTTCACTTTCTTACGTCTTGCACTCCCTCGCTCATAAATAAACATTATATTTGAAAGAAACTGACTGTAAATATGATGACGATTGAATTAGATTTATTATACCAGTAGCATGAGTTGAATTCCACATGCTTTCTACTTTTTTCATGCTTCTTTTTTTTTGTGAAAAATGTATTTAAATAAGATGTACATCTATTTAAACGTAGATATATATTTAACGTAAAAACCATTAAAACTTTCAAAAATCCCACTTAGTCACTGGCGTAGATAATAGGAGAGTAAATTTTGCCACTATTCTCTGATGCGTGCCACTGGATTTATTGTTTAATACTTTCACAAAAAAGTTGACATTCTAAAAACACAAACCATTTAAAAAATTTAAAATAAATATCTTTTATACCTATAGTCTGTTCGCTATACTTACGCGGGTTTCGGATTAAAAATTTTATGAGTATTTTCAGGTAAGTACCCGAAAGTTTGACCTGTTCTTTGGGGAAATATCAACTGGTTAAATGAAATGAAAAATAATGTACAACTTTTTAATTACATAATAATGGAGAATATTTTGTATAATTAAGAGCAGAATTAAACTTCTTCATTAATGGAGTCTAATGTGGCTATTATAAACCTAATAATAATTTTATATTACACTTCACACAGAAAATATGGTATATGTATAATAAGAGGGTTATTTAGCTCAAATAAAATATTTTATAACATAAAAATTTGTTCCCTGTAGAGAATTTCAAATGAAAAAAAAAAAAAAAATTGAACTTGCCAACAAAAATGAAAATCAGTCATTATCATCCAAAATATCATAATCGTCATCATCATCACTGTCATCACCATTAATTGTTATTATGATTGGACTTATTTCGTTTATTTTATTTTCACGAGTCCACCAATCTTCTATTAGTTTATCGCACTTGGATATACAGTTCCGCCACACTTTTGGAGTTGCAATTGAAAGTGCTTTTCTCCAAGTTTCCCGAACTGCGTCGTCACTATAACCATATGGTTGTCATAATATTGTTTTGCTATTCCCCATATATATTCGATGGGATTAAACTGGCAATGATACGGTGGCAGACGTAAAACTTGATGACCGTAACTTTTAATAATCTGATCCACAACAAAGGTTTTTGGTTTTGCGTGTATATTTGCCAAGCGTAATAATTCTGATTTTAATATATATTGAGGAAATGGCATATGTTCTTTTGTCAACCATTCTTTAATTTAATCAACAGTCCAAGAGTTCGTTGGACTTTTGTTTAATACTTCAGAATGATATAGTGAATTGTCTAAAATAATTACGCTGGGCTCACTTAAACCTGGGAGAAGTTTTTCATGCAACCATTTTACAAACATTTTTGTGTTCATATTATCGTGATAGTCACTGGAATTTGATTTAGATGAAAATATTAAATCAGCACCATCTATAAAACCCGATTTCCCTCCTGCATGTAAAATTATGTGCCGTTTCCCTTCTCCATCGGTATGTTTAATGGACTTTACGTTATCATCTTGCCATATTCTCTTGGTTGCACCCCTAGAAAATATCCATGTTTCGTCTAAATATATAAAATTCGCCCCTTCTTCTTTAAATTTAGAATATTTTCTTAGAAAGTTAATTCTCTTGTGCGAGATAGAACTTCTTTCACAAATGGCCTTTCTGTTATCCTCCTTTTGAAATTTGAAAGTTATGTATCACTTGCCATAGACTTGTTCTGCCAAGGTCATCAAATTTTCTATCTATTAATTCCGAGAGAATTGTATTTAAGGTCACATGTTCCTTGTTGGCCCTCATTCGATAAATGGTATCACGAATTTCAAATTTCTTTCCATCTGGAATATCTTTCGTTTTCAATGATGGGCGAGTTTTGCGGTGATCTTCTTTCGGCAGTTCAGTTGCGATTTTGTAATACTCCTCTTAATTTGGTTTCACTAATTCCTAGAGCATCGCATACGCGTTGTTGTACAAACATTACCGATTTTAAAGGACCGCCATTTTCTTTTTCATCCGTAAAATACTTATGTACACTACAAATTAGACTATAGCTAACACACGTCTAGGTATTTTTAAAATTTCCATTAAATTTACAATATACATACAATGTCAACACTTGCAAAGAATCAATTCAACTGCAATATTCGTAACAAATTTAGTACCTACCCTTATGTTATTTTAATTTAAATCTGACCATTAGGGCAATTTTACCTAATTTCTTGGGAAGGGGCTTATCGGAACTGGTTGTCAATGACTAATTTGCATAATTTTGTTAATCCGAAACCCGCGTAAGTATAGCGAACAGACTGTAGTCCCCCATCTGACTGCAAAAAGTGGCATCTCGTGTTTTTTTGCTTGATATTTGTAATTGGGTACATCGAAGGGGATGAACAACATGTATTATGTCCCGGTGGTGGAGTTGTCATGTAACCTGTAAAATTCAAAATAATGTTTATTATAGATGGATTTTTACGTCTTTTGCTGGCAAGGAAATAATTTGCTTCGAGACCGTCTATAACAATAAAAAATTACTTTGCATTTTCTTTCGTCCGGTTTTGCTACTATCGATGTAGGAAAATTCCTACACTTACACTGCAAATAGCAAAACCAGACGATAAAAAATGTTTGCAAAAGGATTTTTGTTCTTATAGACGTCAAGAAGAAAATTATTTAGTTGCTACAAAAAACGAGAAAAACCATCGATAAAGGACATTACAGCTCCCACCACCGGGACGTAGTGTTGTTTACAAGACGTGCCACTTTTTTTAGTCAGATGAGGCACTATTAAAGTTATTAAAAAAATATATTTTATTCGGTAAGATCCCGTATCTCTTATAACAAGTGATATTTTATCTCTCATTTATTGTTTTCCATATGCCGCGTTTGAGAATCCACATCGGATGCATCTGAGATGTAAAAGATCTTTGATCACGTGATTCAGTATACGTAAATGTAATGGGACATATGTGTCCGATGTGGATAAAAAAACGCTCAAGATGTAAAAAATGCATCCGATGTGGATTCTCAAACGCAGCAATAGTTTTTGAGAATTATTTTCGGTAGTTGTCCCCTGTTTGAGATTCCAGGGGTATATAACGAAAACTTACCTGTGAATTTCTCTTAAGAAGAATTTATCGTATCTCTGAAATATTGGAGACAATAAAAGGCTTTCTAAAGACCCACGTGAACCAGATCGATACATTTTGAGGTTGAGAGGACTTAAATCATAATGAGCCTGCAAATATTCAAGATCTCTTTCTTCTGAAACAACTGAAATAATACATTAAAAAATTAATATAATCTCTGTATATGTAACGTGTGGAGGGTAGGTAACACACGGCACTTAGTCCCATATACTCCTAACAATGATTCAGCAATATTCTGCCTCTTCCCAATGTACTTTAAAACCAAAAAAAAAATTAAATTACTATGAATACCAACAAACACAAGCGAAACCAAAACAGAAACATGAAACCGGGAAACCGCCTCAAATGACAAACGACATGCCACCATATTATGGATGATATTAAATTCGGATATATTCGGCTTCCCTTATATTTTATAATAAAATCGAAAAATCGAAAAATCGAAAAATCGAAAAATCGAAAAATCGAAAATAGAAAAATCGAAAAATCGAAAAATCGAAAAATCGAAAAATCGAAAAATCGAAAAATCGAAAAATCGAAAAATCGAAAAATCGAAAAATCGAAAAATCGAAAAATCGAAAAATCGAAAAATCGAAAAATCGAAAAATCGAAAAATCGAAAAATCGAAAAATCGAAAAATCGAAAAATCGAAAAATCGAAAAATCGAAAAATCGAAAAATCGAAAAATCGAAAAATCGAAAAATCGAAAAATCGAAAAATCGAAAAATCGAAAATAGAAAAATAGAAAAATCGAAAAATCGAAAAATCGAAAAATCGAAAAATCGAAAAATCGAAAAATCGAAAAATCGAAAAACCGAAAAATCGAAAAATCGAAAAATCGAAAAATCGAAAAATCGAAAAATCGAAAAATCGAAAAATCGAAAAATCGAAAAATCGAAAAATCGAAAAATCGAAAAATCGAAAAATCGAAAAATCGAAAAATCGAAAAATCGAAAAATCGAAAAATCGAAAAATCGAAAAATCGAAAAATCGAAAAATCGAAAAATCGAAAAATCGAAAAATCGAAAAATCGAAAAATCGAAAAATCGAAAAATCGAAAAATCGAAAAATCGAAAAATCGAAAAATCGAAAAATCGAAAAATCGAAAAATCGAAAAATCGAAAAATCGAAAAATCGAAAAATCGAAAAATCGAAAAATCGAAAAATCGAAAAATCGAAAAATCGAAAAATCGAAAAATCGAAAAATCGAAAAATCGAAAAATCGAAAAATCGAAAAATCGAAAAATCGAAAAATCGAAAAATCGAAAAATCGAAAAATCGAAAAATCGAAAAATCGAAAAATCGAAAAATCGAAAAATCGAAAAATCGAAAAATCAAAAAATCGAAAAATCGAAAAATCGAAAAATCGAAAAATCGAAAAATCGAAAAATCGAAAAATCGAAAAATCGAAAAATCGAAAAATCGAAAAATCGAAAAATCGAAAAATCGAAAAATCGAAAAATCGAAAAATCGAAAAATCGAAAAATCGAAAAATCGAAAAATCGAAAAATCGAAAAATCGAAAAATCGAAAAATCGAAAAATCGAAAAATCGAAAAATCGAAAAATCGAAAAACCGAAAAACCGAAAAATCGAAAAATCGAAAGACATACCTCATGCACTTATGTTAAATATGCCTTATTAATTAGTCCCCACCTAGTCTTTAGTCTAGAAACATCTTTAATTGAACAGAAATTGAAAGAATTGAGCAAACTTAAAATCTTTATCCTCTTTACTTCAACGTTAATCGTATGTATTTAAATGCAAAATAAATTATGAAGTACTTTTTTAAAATTTAAAATAAATATTTTTACAAGTATTGTTAAGTCCGTCCTTGGACACACTGTATAATGCTGTAGAATGAATTCACGTTATAACACCTATAAAACGTGTCAGAGCAACTTTCGGAGAAAGTACCGTAAAAATGCTAGTGTGATGTTTTCCGAACTTCACTTTGTAATCTCTATGAAAAGTGCTATAATAGTCTTGCCGTTGCGGACATTCGGCGGTTGCATGGATATTATAGTTACATTAAAAGTACATCGCATGGGAGCTTAAAGAGCCTAATATTGCAGCTTATTAACGTAGATGGGATGTTTTTGTGCTAGCTGGGTACAATGTTGTTATATGCCTTTGGAGCATTTTTCATTTCGTTATCAGATGATGGTCGAAATTTGCAGTTGGCTCTCTTACTATAACCAATAAAATATATGACATCCGCCTATATTCAAACAGCAGTATTTTGCTCATCCCGAATTTGGAACTTCAAATTGTTCCGAGTGAGCTAACTGATTCTTTATAAACTGTGGCCACGCCCGCAAAATGCGGAAACTACATATGCCGCGTTTGAATATCCACATCGTATGCATCTGAGATGTGAATTTTTTATCACGTGATAGTGAATTAGATCTGAATGTAGATGTAATAAACAAATGCTCTAGACTTTATTGGTCACGTGATAAAATGACAATGACAAGTTTATATTCTTTAAATTTTACTTTTGAGACTGGACAACAACCTTAATTTATATTTCTAAACAAAAATTAAACACACTAATCACTTTTATATTCACGCTGGCTGACATAAAGGATCCATCAATAATCTTGGCTTCACAGAACACCTACTTTCTGGCATGGAACGAACATCTCATTCACATCTCATTTCAAATTGAGATGTAAAAAATGTAATCTGGACGACTACATCTGGGATAAACAAACGCAGATGTAGTTGTAGTAGATGTGTCCAATGTGGATAAAAAACGCTCGAGATGTAAAAAATGCATCGGATGTGGATTTTCAAACGCGGCAATAGAAAGGAGGTTATAAGTTTTGGCTTCGGACTATAGTGCACAACTAGCTCACAAATGAGTACTACGTTTACTTATCATCTGAAGAAGGGAGCGCAGTGTATAATTAAAGATACTATGTAACTAGAAATTCGAAGTAATGGTTATGACGTAGCGGTGTTTTGCTTTAAAATTAGTTCATCAGTTCAACAGTTGGCAACATTGGCGTCTTGTTCGTTTGTTGTGATGTAATTTTTATCAATTCGCATTTTTGTTGTTTGTGTGTTGTGAGCATTAAATTTGTTTATTTTTGACATAAAAACTAACTTACACACAAACATTAGTATCAGAAAAAATAAATAAAAAAAAACTTTTTTTTAACCTCTGGCGGGGTTTAGTGTTAAAACAACAGTTTTGGTCTACACAACGTAAAAGACTTTAAATTATATAGAATCCCTTCACCTTTAGTGATCATAGAAAAATAACTGTTTCTAACTAGACACTTACTAGCCAGTCCGAAAATTTGATCATCCGTAAGAGCAACGAATGAGGTATATGGACTACCTAAGTTGTTGATAGAATCTTCAAATTGTTCTATGATCTTCAGAGTATTCGGAATTGTAGATAAAAGTGCTTTCACTGAATTTTCGTGATCTTTGTTAGCAGTCTACAAATTGAATTTAATAATTAATATCTGAGGTCTAAAAAATGAACATGTTCCTATAAACACTTTATTAGTAATAAGAACCTACATCAACTTCGATAATTGCCAACATAGCGTTCCTGTGCATAACATACAACTCAAATGGAAACGTACCCATAGATCTAGGTGGTACTCTAGTAAAAAACCTACAACATTAAAAATAAGCTTAATATTTTTGCAGAAGTTCATCGGGTGTACTAATATTATCAGTACCTATATAATAGATTTTAAATGTAAAAAAGGAAAAAAAATGTATCGTCGTTTTAAACAGTTATTAATCACTCATCTGTTAAATGAGTAAAAATATAATATCCTTTCACCCTCACGTTTCGATATTTTATGGCCTAATGGTTGGTAGTACTGCAAAACGATGATCTAGTAGAAATTAGAATTTTAAAATTTAATAAATCGGAAAGAGCGTTTCTAATATTTTGATTTTATCGTTATCTTAAGACAAAATAAAAGATTAAAGTACCTAGTAAGTTTATTTACTGGAACCGTAGGTGGCACAGCCATTACGCAATAATCTCTATCCGGTATACAATCGAATGCTGCATCGAAAAGTTCCATGATTCCTTGTTCGTGATTTGGTAACGCTGCAGCTATTTCCAAAACGAAGGCGTTCTCTTCCCCTTTATATTCGGGAAGTTTTTGGATAAATGCTTTCGAGGCAGAATCTAAAATATTTCGAATAAACTTATTAGCAAAATACCCTGTACAAAAATTGAGGTGGATGATTGAAGAAATTAAAAATTTTTAGTGTGAACATTTTAAATAAATACTGCATGGAAATGTAATCAAAGTTTATTCCTTATTGACCATTGGTATGAAAAGAACAAAGGACGAATCTAATCTTTAAAGGAAAGAATAGTTAAAAATGAAGAAAAGTAACAAGTAATATGGTGTAGCACCACCCCTGGCTAACTTTGACCCCTTCGGTACCATGATTTAAACAGGTGATTCATGTGACGATGAGGGCCAAGATATGAAGAAATTAAAAATTTTTAGTGTAAACATTTTAAATAAATACTGCATGGAAATGTAATCAAAGTTTATTCCTTATTGACCATTGGTATGAAAAGAACAAAGGACGAATCTAATCTTTAAGGGAAAGAATAGTTAAAAATAAAGAAAAGTAACAAGTAATATGGTGTAGCACCACCCCCGGCTAACTTTGACCCCTTCGGTACCATGATTTAAACAGGTAATTCATGTGACGATGAGGGCCAAGATAATAGAGAAAAGTGATAGCAATTAACGTTCAAAAGTGTTTCATTAGGTTTAGATTTACAGTAAATTAAAGTTAACCTGCAATTTAAGATGGTTTGTTTGTATGTTTAAGTGATGCATGATAATAAATATAGATATATTACATTTAATAAAAACCAAAATAAACTGTGATTTGCACGATTGCACTTCTTATAGGTTAAAAATAAACCATCATGTTTTGCCGTGAGTACATTAGCGATTCTAGCGGATTTTACTCGTACCCTGATCAACTTTAGCTATGTTTTCGAAGAGTAGAAAAACTTTATAGTTACATCGACTTAAATAAGTTGGTGGTACCAAGCGACGCAACTGGGGTTGAAGTAATTGGAGAAAGAGTAATAAATGCGTTTTTTCATATTGTTTAAGGCATTAAGAAAATTGTCGTATAACCTTTGGTCAATGTATTAGTACGAATAAAGAAACAATTTCTTATGAATTTAATTAATTAAATATAATCCTAAATTAATTTGGTCATTTTTAAAAAACAAAAAACTGGATAATTTGGCAAAAAACATGTACATTAATAAACAATAACTTCTGTAATGTTGAATGCCTATAAAAGGTGTCCCAGACTAATTCATCCAGGATATATATTAAACGAATATTAATATAAAATATTTTGACTTGACTACTTCCGATTATACCGGAAATGAACCCAAACTTCTTTATTATAAATAGAACACCCTGTATATTTTACCATTTTTATAATCCCCGCGACGATGAATCACCCTTGATGTCTATTATGTATACAGGTTGTCCCAGACTAATTATTCCAGGCTATATTTCATAAGTAAATAGAGATATTCGACAGGGACAAAAACTAATTCCATGCAATGCCATTTTTTAAGAAATTTTAAATGGGCGTAGAAAAAATAATTCCCTAAACACTTAGTGACAACTTTTTATGGTGGTGCTATTAAGGGTTGGTCTTTTCACCTTCAGATAAAGTGCCAGGTAATTTTTATCTCCCAAGTAACTTAAAAAGTAATCTTTTCACTTCTGGATAAACCTAACTTCTGAATGATAACTTAACTTAGTTATGAAATTCCTGATAAAATACTTCACTGATGGATAAACAGGTAGCTACATAACCACATAAGATTAAAAACTACTGGATACTTACCATACATATTATTTATTTGAAAAACCAGAAAATTAATTATCTGACAGATAGTAACTCTCAGATAATATATCCGTCAGTTAGTTATCTGGAACTTTATCTGGAGGTGAAAAGACCGACCCTTAGCGTACTACTATTTCGCCCCTAGCCACAAAAACACCATCAAATTTACTGGTTCTCTGTCGCAACCCCATAGAATAATTACCCGGCCATTTTATTTGGCAAAAATCCAAATAATGCTTGGCTGTGCCTGTCAAGTGTCAAGATGTCAACTGTGATATGTGAATGGCTCTTAAATATCAAATTATTTAAAACTGTATACTTCTTTTGATATTTATTGCAAATAATAAATATCTCAATTCAAGCTTTACATAAATAAAGGTACAGCAAGACAAATAATATAATGTTCTTATACGAAGCACTTTTTTATTATATAAAAGAGAGGTAGGATATAATGCCCATTTCAAATTTGGATCATTTATGATACCGAGGTATTTTGTTGTGTTTTTCATTTTAATTATAAAGTTGTCATTTATTTGTATGTTGAAAGAAGGCTTTTGTAAATTACATTGCTCTCTATGGATCTACTTTAACACAAACATAGTTTTGTGGCTATAAGTTGCTATAATCTACCTTCGCAAAACTATTAATAATTTAAACATAGTAAGTGGTATTAATATAACATCAAGTAATTTTTTAAAATAAAGTACATGATCTCAAAACAAATAATCTATAATAAATGCGGATAAAACGAGGAGTAAAATAACAATAAATTAAGGGAAATACTTAAACAGGGCAGGTTTGAAGAGTATTATCACAAGAAAGTATATCCGTTCTGTTTATTGATCAAGTATTGTTTGAGTTTACTTTTGAATACATTTATTGTTTTTTTCTTAATTTCTGTAGACAGTCTATTAAATTTTTTAAACCTTTAATAAAAATTGTATTTTGGGAACTTTTACTGATGGCTTGCCGTACATGAGAGTCAGATTGGTTTCTTGTATTATAGTTGTGATATTGCGAATTATATTGAATTTTTTCTAATAGATCTGATGCGATGGTACTATGTCATTTTTATTTTATTAATAAATATCAGTCATGTAATGAACATAATTATGAACTGAAGGCCAATTTATTTCTTTTAACATAGTTGCAATACTCATTCTTCTATTCTTTATTAATAGAATATAAATAGGCGAAGTAAGAAACCCAAATATTTTACATGAGCAGGCTTAAGAGGTAAAGGGGCCAATTATTATTGGATAAATTGCTCGAACAAGTTTTTAAACCCTTATCAAAAGGCGATATAGAATGGTTTTAAAAATCAAGGCTTGTGAAAATCATCACATGGTTTAACCTAAGTAATGCCAATGCTTCACAAACCAAAAAATTCAACGTGATAATGTCCAGGATCCGTAAGTAAGGTCGATCTTCACCCATCTGTTTAATGGATAAAAGTTTTTTTTAATAAATAATATGTTTTTAAATATACCGCAAATGGGTTGCCTAAGAAAATACGGCCACGGCAATTTTTTACTTTTCTTTCTGTGTATAGATAAGAAAAGCATAGGAATCATTATAAAAGTTGCTTATGATGTCATTCTCTATTACTTTGTTCCCTTACATGATTTCCCTAAAATGGACCTAATTCGAGATATTTGAGAAGAATTGCAAATTTCGAATTTTGAAGATAACTCAAAAACGGATGAAGAGAAAAACACCAAATTTTAAATTTAAGCTTTAATCCACTCTGCGGGGAGCTGATTAAAGTTTGGGCATAGTCGAAGCATCTGGGGAATACTTTGGAGGGTGTCATTTTTTTACTTTAAGAAAATAAATAGTCTGGACAGTATTTTCTTAGGCAACCCGTTTGCGGTATATTTATTATATTTGTATTATATTTAATGAAAATAAACTTTCATCCATTAAACAGATGGGTGAAGGTCGACCTTACTTCGGATCTTAGACTATAATACTACTATCGGCTTTCGGTATTTCGTTCCAAGCTAAATCATTTCTCGATTTTATTACGCTACGAGTTTAGCCTTGCGGGCCTCAGTCTCGATAAGGTGGGAACCACCATTTTAGCGTCTCTCAAATTTTCAAGTTTTTTTTAGCGAAATTTACAAGAGTAATAAAAACTATGTTCACTGCTTATATTAAACTGATTAAGGAGGTCCTTTCGCCACCAATGTTAAATAAAAAATATTAGATTATGACTAAAATTAATTTTTTTCTAATAGTAGAAGTCCTTATTTATCTAATAGTGAACTTTTAACTATACCTTACCGTGCAAATTTTTGAGAATTTTTTTTTTAAATGTGTGGTTTGTACAGTGTCTTACGAGAAAGTAAGACTTCAACAACAATTTTGAGTCTTATTCCAAAAGTGTTTAAACTGATCTCGTTTTTTATTCATTTTATTGTTAAAATCATCAATTTGTTTAATGCAGAAGCCAATGTCATTTGACTTTGTCTGTAAAATGTCGAATAAAATGTCAGTATAAGGGAAAATCTCGGCAAAAATGTTGAGCAAAAATTGAAATCAATGTTTTGTTTGAGCCAATGCAAATACCCTTTAGCGGCAGTAACAGTTTCAGCATCCCATGTTTCTTTTTTATCCCAAACGTCTTGAAAAAAGTTTATCAAAGAATCACGGTATTGAAACACTGTTTGCACTAAACGTCCATTCTAGTTCCATCGCGTCGGAGTAACTTTTGGAAACCTTTTTCGAACGTAAATGTCTAAAGCGCTAGTTCTTTTCGATGACTTTGAAAAGAAGGAAGCCAAACCACTAAGCGTCAAAAAGAAAACTTTGTAATCTTTAATATTATCCATGCTTCGCGATAAAACCAAATTAAGTCTATGTGCTATACAGTGAACGAAAATTGCATGTTTAAACTTCTCTTTCACTTTAGCTTGAAGGCCTCCTAAATGGCCAGTCCTTACGGCAGCACCATCGTAGCTCTGAACAACAAGCTTAGAATTACATTCTAGACTTGAAATAATGTCACAAACAATTTTAAACAATGCATCTGCAGTTCGTTCGATAGTGACGTCCAAAAATCCTAAGAATCGCTCGAGAAATGCCATCCAATTCATATCGCACAACAATGGATAATTGACTTAAGTTTGCTGTGGTTTCATCAAGCGCAATTGATACGAAAGGTGCTTTTTTAATTTCACTTGTAATGTGATCCATCACAACGTCGGCAGTGCATTCAATTAAATCATTTTGGATTCTGTTTGAAGTACCTCGGAAAGTCGTCGAATCAATAAAATGATTTTTTAGGGTATCATCGTATTTTGCTAAAAAACTTAGAAGGACCATGTAATTTCCTCGATTGGCGGATCCACTTGCTTCATTATGACCCCTAAAACTTAGTTCATGCTCACTCTGGAAACAAGTTACATCTATTAATAGTTGTAAGACGTCCCTATTTTTTTACTCTTTTATTGCGAATTTTGTTTCTTATTTTTAAATGATTGACCAAACTATGTTCAATGCGATAGGTCCCGAATGTTATTTCTTTAATTGTAGCACTTATATGAGATTTGCTATTTACATGTCGTTTTACACTGTGAAAATTATTCAAGTCTGTAATACCGACTTAATGTTTTTTCGGCTATATTAAAAAGTAGGCAAGGCCAGCAAAACAATTTCCTCAAAGTTTTGCAGCCGGTTAACCATTCATACTTTTTATAGAACCCTACGTGAAAATGCCTGGTGAATTTCTTTGCTGACTTTTCTACTTTCGTCTCTAAATTGATAGGATCCTTTAATCTACTAGAATTAATAATGTCCGTTTTCTCTTCAAAATTTCTAGTTGAAAATCATTTTTTCAATAAAGAGCACAGAATACAGACAATTTACCACATTATTATTGTTTACAGGCACAGTGCATAGATCCTCCATTTTACAAAAAGAAAAACAACTACGAAAAACAAACCGAAATATATCTGAAGCCTACGATTTTCCTCACACGTCGATTCGCGGTCCGAATTGCAATATGCATAAGGCGACGTAAAAATCGCTGCCTCTCGACCGTATTTCACGTATACAAACAGATTTATTACCGTCGCCGCAAAGCAGGGTCAATAACACGAAGCGAAATCAATTGAAAGATCAGCCGGCTTTTTTAAGACGCGCTTCCGCCGACGGACTTGAACTACCTATATGGTGTGTGCGTTTACACAATTAATTTTCTCATGGGTGGTGCGTGGGTTTACACAGTACACCAATGAATTGTTAGTACATTTACGAAGTTTACGTAATGTTTCAGAGAAAATATAGTACCTAATTTAATATTAATTTCTATGCATTGTAAACTGAAAAATATTTATTTTTAATTCTCAAAGTGTAGGGAAGCGGTGCTGCCCCCGCTTCCATGGACCGCACGCCCCTGGTTGACGATGATATTAAATATTTAATATTAAAAAACTTCGAACTGATACGAATGTTGGCGAGCGCACTCGAAAACTATAAAGTCGCCACTAACTGCTGTCCTTAAACATCCACAATTAATTAAGGACCGGCACAAAATTTATTAAAGTCAGTTCTAGAATGTAAGTGATCTGCGCATGCTCAGATGTCAAAATAAGAACGGCACTAATAATGACTGACTTTAAGTGAACTTGCAATAACTCTCTATTAATAAAAATGTGAAAATTTACAAGGCTAGCTATCCAAAATATTTTATATCGATAGAGTGCACCCGAAAATCCCTCGTACTCAATTTTCGTTTCAATATCTCTATTCTTTTATGAGGTATCGCCTGGACGCATTTGTCTTAAACAATAAAACAATAAAAATAAATTATATAAACACAATTCAAATCAAGTTACCTGACTACTAATCTTGACATTTAATTCCTTCAAGATTATTGCAAATTACTAGGTAATTAGAGAATGAATAGTGATAGTAAACAGTAAATTTTTACCACCTATTAATATTTCTAATTTAAAATTGTTAATATTTAATTTTTTTAAAAAGAAATTGAAACAAAAAAATAAAATACGTTTATATAGTTTATGAAATTAATTATGTAAAAATGTGAAATTTGTGTTTTAGTCATTGTGGTTATACAAAAAGTATGACACCAAATGAAATTGGTTACTTTTTTCTTTTATTGCACAATGTGATTACATTTTTAATATTTGCTTACATGCTGAGATCCAATCAGCGTGTTGATCTGCTGCGTGTTGTTCATCCCTATGTGCTTCTTTCTGATATATGTTAGTATACTGTGATAAAATTTGTGTTGAATCTGTCGATCCTTGTAGGTCCGTACCCTTCTCCCCGAGGCTTTCTTCATCATCTTGGAAAACAAACATTGACGCTGAAGTAAAGACTATAGAAAATTCATCAGAGTCCGAGTACGAAACATGGGCAAATACTTCTTCCTCTTCTTCCATTTTAAACGATTCTGATACCGATTTTTTCTCGAAAATGGATGTAATCCTTGAAACGGTACTTGCAAATTATATTTTAAATAAGAATTCTTTTTTTTTTAACTATAAATGGCGACAAGGCCGGCGCCCCAACGGAATTTATTTTTGACACCCATTAACTTTGTGTAAAAGTCAAATTAATTCTAATATCTGGACAATCTCCAGGATTCAGATAGGACGCAAAAATAACATAAATTACAAATAAAATAATAATAATAACAATAATATATATTTTGCAATTTTTTTTTTATAATTTTCAAAGACCTTGGTATAATTTAATAATTTTTAAATACGATGGATACGAGATATGTCTTCGTAAAATGGACCATTTTAAACACATTTGGCTTATTTAGTTTGCCATGGACGGACTAGCTTTAACACAATACTGTTAATATTTTTAATATGATAAAGACACAACAATAATATTTTTAGACAGCTTAAACCTTAAACTAAAAAAAGGTACTCTTGATCAATATCGATAAAATGACTTGTTTTCGTTTAAAATGGTTTTTTGCATTGGTTGACACTAATAAAAAATATTTTTACTTGCTATGGCTGTATGACGGTTTTTAATGAAGAATTTCATATGTCGGTTCAATATGAGCACCTTATTTTTCCATGATTGCACAAAATTATCTTTACTACTTACTGTACTACTATTTAATTTTAATTTCTGAACCTAAAATTTTAAGCATAATTCCTTTTTCTCACTTTGACACTCATTTGGTATATTTACTGTATTATATTAATGTTTTATTTTATTTGCTATTTATTGTTTCTTCTTTAACTTACGGGTTAGATGTAAGTAATATTCATTTTTGTACAAATAAAGACATTTAATATTATTGTTAGGTATTATTATCTTATTAAGCCTTTTCCTCAAAGACAATCATGTCAACTAGAAAAGGCTACCGTATTAGTTTGCTAGTCCACTAATTATATATCTTTGGTTGACGCTTTATTAAATAATACCGTGTTTAGCCAGCCTTGTCAAATATCAACAATGAATACTTACTCTTCTTCAGCCTTTGATCGCCATATTTTTTCGACACTGGACTGGCGATACTCAAAATCTATATCTTCGTAATCATCAGGGTGCGATTTTCTTAAACCATTATACGGTACAAGTTCAAACTCTTCATTTAGTACCTGCAATAGTATTGTTTACGTTTTAATGTAATGAGTACAAATTATATATTATATATATAAAAACTAATAAGAAAAAATTGGTAACACTGCAAGCATTCCCTTTTCACTCCATTAAAACAAGCAATAACAAATGTTCGTAAAATCTCCGCTAACGTTAAAGATATAAACGTTACTGTTAAAATAACGTTATGTCTAATGTACCATCAAGTGAAAAATATAGTTTTAAAACAAATATTCTGAATCGACTATCGTCCATTTATCAGTAAATAGAGAAATTACGTTCATTATTCAGTTTCGACAACCGTTCGATGGCTCAGTAGAAGACGACAAAATTATCAAAGATGTGACTTGGACACCACGGATCTTGCTGCCATCTGTTGATACTGTCCATTGTGTTTCAAAACAATTTGCATTGGTATTGTTCTACTAATCGATCTAAATACAATGCTACAACCCAGATAACCAATCACCTCTGTGTTGCTGACTGATACACACCCTATTAAATGCGTCAAGTTCTGTATATCAACAAAATACACATAATATGCTGAGCTACATATTTTTTGCGTATTAGTTTTAATACATCTGAGGGTTAAAGTGTTAAATATTATTAAAGCGATGATAAATGAATCTAACCACTAACTGTTTATTCAAACAATTAAAAACATTGAAACTTACATCGTAGTTAACAACTTTGTTCAAACATAAAACCGCCACAGCAGAACCTTGATACTCGGCTACTATTAATTGCCTCCCCATTTCTTTGTTCATTAAAATTTCAGCGAAATAATATCTAAAAGATAAACAAACTTAATTTTATATTTCACAGTGCAGTACAAAATGTATTTTCTTTATGAAAGAAGTGCTGAAAGAAAGCAGACACCTATAAATCGTCGTTTGTGTAGTCAACTTTATATAATTTCCTATTTAAAAATGGGTTAACAATCATTGGACACTATGGACAACCTCTACATATAAGAAAGAATATCATTTTAAAAAACTTCGAACAAAAAATCGAATATTGATCTTGTGATCCATTCAATTGAACATTTTGTTTCAAATGATTGTCCAAGATTCTCCACATTCTCCAAAATCGGTGAAATGAAAAATACTCTTATCTCTTTTTAAATCAAGTGAAGGGCCGTAAATAAACATTACAAACCTAATTAAAGAACATTACCTAGTGGAATTCAAGGAATGGTTAATGAAACAAGAAGCTGACGAGTTGCCAGGAAGTTTTTAAATTACCCTAATAACACTACAGCAACCAATACTTGACTATGACTAGACATAATCTTCGCCTGATCACAGGAATTCTAACTGATGGTTATTGCCAAATAAGCAAGCATTTTCATAACATGGGGCTATCAGAATCCTCACTCTAAAGAGGTACCAACAAGGAGATGAAACTATCGAGCATATCGATGGCTTAGCTCACATAGGTGTTAAGTGCAATTTTGGAACAAATTGTGTTAAATGTAACTAGGTACTTATATGTGTACAAATCATTTATCTTTATTTCGCTTTATTATGTAATCAGAAACAACGAAGAATCCCATACAGCACACATTATTTCAGAAATGTTTCAGAAATATTTCAAACGTTTCAAACATATAACATTTCAAGCACACATTTCTGAAATATTTTAGTTAAATATTTCACTGAAAATGTTTCTGAAACATCGTATACATGTTACACAAAAGGTTTATAAACGTGTTATGTTGTAAGAAGCCAACACTTATAATGAAGAATTTCTGATTTGTAAGAAAAAGAAGAAAAAGATGGGATATGTAGTTATCTAGTTATTTTTTTCTTGTCCAGCCTACCAGCCAGAGACAACCCTATATTCTAAATAATGATAGATTGGAGTTGTCGGTTTTTGCCATTTCCTTTTTTTTTGTTATTTATGCGTTGTGCTGTTGTTGTATGGGAAGCAGAATATGTCTTTATTAGAAATTGAGGTGAGTCCTACACTAGTTTTATTTATTAGTGCAGTTTACTAATCACTCGTTATAGCTTGACCGTTTACCAAGGAGATTCGGATATCACGTGTTAATATCTAGTGGTTGTTAAAGGTTCGCTGTATCACAGAAAGAAAGGGTGACGTAAACATTTCGTGGATTTCGGAACAATCGAGAAAAGCCAGTGACGGCTTTAGTAATAACAAAACAAATGGCTTGGGTACAATATTGCAGTATTTCACCAAACAAATTCAACAAAAATAAGTAGCGGTAAACCACTTCCGAAATACTGGTATGTTTTCACTCGAAATCGCTACAAATTTTCTCGAAAATTCCAAAATCATCATCGAAAATCATGGTCGAAATCATCGCCGAAATCAATTCGTTGCTCAAAACCGTAAATGCCGAGAAAAAAGATCATCGTATAAAATTAAGGTGGATTTTCAGTGAAATCACCGAAATCACATAAAAAGTTTTTATGAGATTTCCGAAATACAGGTACGTTTTGACCTTAGTGGTTTCCTCTCGGTTCTGGCAGAAACACTATTAGGAATCGGACTAGATATATTTAGCAAAAATAAGTTATATGCCTATTATCTGGTTTTGGTAGACACGCTTAGCAATTGAATAAAATGTTATGATTATGTTTTGGTATAAATGCCACCCCATCTTGTTTGTGTATATGGTTAATGTATTAATATAAAGTTAGTTTTTATTGGCTATCTGTTTATCATGAATATAAAGTTCGTTCACACTAGTAGAACGTGTACTTAACTCGAAAATTCTAAAAATGGAGCTATCTTGATTTTGCAGTAACCTCACAAAATTCCAAGATTATAAAAACAGAAACCTATAGTTTTAATAATAGTGTTTCGGGCCACAAAAAATGCTTGGAGGGCCGCAGGTTGAGTATGGCTGCTCTAAGGTATACTAGTGAGTAGAATATTAGTTTATGAAGTTTTTCGCCCTTTGATAAGTTAGATTAGAATAAAATTGCTAATTGATCTTAATGATCAGATTGTAATAGTGATAAATATTTCAGATAAGTGCATTTAAAGGAATTTGTGGAAATTAAGCGATTTGCTTTTATATTTTATGAAATTATGTTTAAAAATTAATTATTTGTTTGTTTAAGAATCAATGTTTGAATTTTGTGTATTTTAAATAAACATGTATATTTATAAATGTCTTTTTTTTTTTTGTAATAATATTTTAGAAAAAAGCTAGAATAGATTTCTTAAATATTACTATTTAATATTTCTAAAAAATTTCAAATTTTTATTTCAGATATATAACTGTGAAATATTTTATTTAGGGTACATATTTACGTTTCAGGCACATTTCAGAAATGTTTCTGGGATGTTTTGTAATATTAATACAACATTACAAATGTTTCAATGTAATATTTTTGAAATATTTCTGAAATGTGTTTGTGCTGTATGGGATTGTTGAAAGGTGTGTTAGATACATTTTATGTGAAATAACAGAGTTATTTTTCCAAACCTTTTAACTTAAATTATGAAATATTAGCAAAATCTTATTTAACACACGTGTGCATTAAACCATCAATATACAGCTGCCCGACGCTTTCATTTACTAGATTTGTGTTTGGTGAGTTTTGGCTAATATCGGCAGATGTAAGAGAGACACCTCTCGGCGATGTTGTCTACTACATCACCTCTGTAGGCTGTCTGACGAGTTAAGAGGGGACTATTTATTGAGGAGGAAGAACAATTGGCCTAGTTGGGAACAAGTGAAATAATATAAAATATCTTAAATTATTTATAGGTACATTATTTATTTCCAATACATACTCTCCATATAGTTCCGTAAATCTTGTGGAATAAGCTGCTATTAATGGTACCAAATCATCGTTGTCTTCCTCTACGGCCCTCCTTATCTTATACACTGTGCTAAAAGTACTTCTACAAAATAGTAACAGGTACGAACTCTGGCCTTTTCTGCAATCTGAAATAACATTTATTTCAAATGTAGATAAGCGATAAAAAGGTTTCTTTTTGAAATTTAGTATAAAGTATAAAGTCATAAACATGGGCATTAGTTTTACTGGTATCCATGTTATGAATACTTTTTATTATTCAACCTAGTACTTTAAAAAAATTATCATCTTTTATATACGTTTTCCAATGTCACAGATTTACCCCAGATGCAAAACCCGGAAAAAGATCAAAAGATTTTAATATGAGAATAATCTGACATTGAAACTTTAAATGGGTCTGGCAAAGGTGTTGCTAATTTTATTTATTCTAGATAAACATTGGCCTTTTAAATAAATTTTACTGGGTGTATGAAGTAAATAATATAATGCGGTGGAACTTCTATGTGACAAGAATTATCGAAAAGTTGTAGTGGACCTACTCATGATAGGGCCGGACCAAGAAACCTTTGATGGATCAGAGTAATAAGTGCAGTCACTAAAGAGCCATTGACATGCTCGCAAACCACATAAATTATTTGTTGTGGTGTTTGCAGTGATGCTGCCACTTACAAATAGCAAACGACTTTCGCTAAACCCCTCTTTTTCACTCGACGTCTATCCATGTCAAGAAAGTGACCCTTACGACCTTTGGGAAGAAATAATTTTCTGCCCTAGAGAAAAAAAATAATAAATAGTTTGTGAAAATTATTTTTATTTAAAAAAATATTGAATGCTGAACGAAATTTAAGAATAAATCCTTGAACTCCGAGGGGTGAAAACAAATCAGAAGAAAATTGAATTTGAAAAATCCGCTCCGGGTAAAATTCGAACCCACGACCTTTGGAATATCACCCCACTAGCATAGCGATTAGACCACAGAATTTTATGGATTTACTTATCAGATTTATTTCCCAAAACATTTTATTAATTTATGGCCTTGATGTGTTTACCTTTATAGTTTTTAGTCTAGTAAATTCTTAAAAACAATAAAGACGCTTAAAAATACACAGTTTATTAAAATACTAACCTGGAGCTATTACAGGAACGCCCAAATTCAAAGTAAAATCGAGTCTATGTCTACCAGGCGGTACAATCATGATAGCGTACTTCAAGAACATGATCGATTTAAACAAATGTTGCAGCATTGGTTTAAAAAATATCATGTAATAAATGGGATCGCTAATCGCCAAATGTATCCACACGGTATTTTTACTAATGGCGTCGGTAAGTCCGTATTTCGTTTGGATCCAATGGCTCCAATCTGTGGTAGGCATAGCAGGAATATTGGGAAATGGCTGGAGAAACAACGCACCCACAATTCTGCCTTCATCATCTAGGATTCCTAGAGATAGGTAGCAAAGAGTCCTTAAAATTTAATATCTAATTATTACAAATATATAGATGGTCCAATATATCCACCACTGAATAGTTGGTAGCATTAAACTAATGGTACTGACTCATCGAATCGAGAGGCGTATTCGCGATTCAAGCTAAGTGAGACTCTCTCTGGAGGAAATTTGTGAAATGTGTTGCCAGGAGTAGCGGAATTTCGCTGTCATCGGATTTTTAACCCTTGAAGAAGTTGAAAGACCTCTTTTTTTAAGTAGCGAAATGTGTGCCCAGCCATATGTAATCATAGGTACTCTACATTTATTTAAGGATTTTTATAAAACTGATTTATTGATTTTTTTTTAATTTCAGTTCATTTATCAATTTTGTTTTAAAATCAGTTCATCAGTTGGCAACAGGGGCGTTCGTGTTAATGTCAAAATCAAAACTGAAGTTTTCAATATTTTCTAAGCATTAAGTCGTAAAATTTTGTTTCTTACTAAAATAGATGAAATTTTGCAAAATTTTATGTCTAGAATCAAACTGCATTCTGCATTGACAATTTTATTACCGTTTACATGTATACGAAGTATTACACCATTTACTTCATAATAAGGATAGTAAGATTTTAAATAAAATTATCAATATAAATATTAGGTATCTGAAATTTTCTTTAAACCACATAATAAAACATGTCTTACGTTTAATAAAAAAATATATTTAGATGTTTGTGTAGTATCCAGATAGGTGAATATTTCCAACAAATTAGTCATAAAACACATAATAAATATATTTATGATGATAGCACGGAAACTAAACTTAAATTAACACTAAATGAAACTCAAAAATACTATTATAATGATAATATGTAAAAACAGTTAAAATCTCACAAATACAAAATCCCGCCCAAAACAAACACAATGTAAACAAACAAATATCCTACTTATAGGTAACAATTGACAGGCGCGCGAAAATTAATTTAAATCGCGACTTGCAACAAGTGGTTAATTCATAATATTATATCTCGGGAAGTATCAGTTTCATCAGGCATTCCACAAGGCTCACACTTTGGTACTGTCCTTTTCACACTTTTTATTAACAACGTAATTTCCTGCTATTTAAATAGTTCTTGTCCTCTATATTCCAATGATTTAAAATTTTACAACACAGCTACAAATTACAATACCGCCCAATAAGGTGATCTAGTTAGATTAAATGAATGATGCAAGGTGAATCATATCCTTAGATAAAAGAGACCAGAGATATAACATACACCGATGTTTAACCTGCGCAAATGTTGCCAATTTCTAAAGAAAGGTTAAAGGAGTGGGGGAACTGTGCAGAGACCCGAACTCGTGACAAGGACCGGACTTTGTTTATTAGCATCATAATGAACTATTAGATTTATTTAAAATATATGTTTAATGGAATTTTGTATTATGAAATAAAATTAACGTGATTTTTTAATATCAAACAGATGCACGACATTTTATGTAAAAAAGACCTTTTATAGAATATTTAGTTAGCGTTTATTTACTACGGACTTTTCAGAAATAGAATATTGTTAATAGAGCAAGAAATGGTACTCATTGTCTATGAGTATTATAAAAAAGCTTGTGCGCAGGCGAATACTGCAAATCAAACCTTTTGAGTCAAACATTATATTTTTTCTACGGCTATTACATAATATTAAAAATTAGTCAAAATGAGAAAATGCTGTTTTGTATTGTAACCTCAGCTTCTTTCTTTAGGAATATTAATTAATATAGAGGATGAGTGATTGTCGAAATAATAATCGATCATTGAAAATAATCGATTATTTTCGATCAATCCATTGTTTTCAATCTACTTGTTTTTCGTATTTCCTTTAAAATAGACTACTTCCTTATCTTTGAAAAATCAAAAATAATCGATTAATTAAAAAGCCAATTAACCGATAAATCAGTGTTTACAAAAAATTATCGTTTATTTTAAATAAACGATTATTTACAAATAATCCATTTTTTTTCGTCCATTGAAACAGATTATTCGATAATCTTTGAAAAATCGAAAATAGTCGATTAATTAAAAAGTCGATTAACTGATAAATCGATTTTCAAAAAAAAAACCGAATTGTCGATTATTTTAAATAATCGATTATTTTCGATCAATCGATTATCATTGAAATACCGAAAATAATCGATTAATTAAGTCTATGTCTATTTACTTCTTATTTAAATTAAATATTTAAAAATTTTATCCTTTTGTAAATTTATGTAAGTAATACGAAATCTGTTTTCTGAAATATGTATTTGATGAATATTTATTGAAACCCCTTAATGCGGATCTGATGTATTCAGCTCAAAGGATTATAGGGACCGTGCGTCATGACTTTAACGCTAACTGGTGAAAAAAATTTGAACTTTATGGGGGGTATTTATTAATATTTTATATGGCATTTATTGTTTAATAATTATTAATTAAATAAAGTCGAATTATTTTCGTAATATCATTATCGAAAAAACTTGTTGCATCCGTGGATGTACGAACACATTACATTGGAAACCTGGTTTCATTCAATAGTAAAGAAATTTTATAAATTTCCACAGAACAGAATTAGTGTCTCACACCTAATGATATACATAATTACATAGATTGCTTATCCATATGTAAATCAGACGATGAAAAGCGTATTTCACTGGGCAAAGTTTTTTTTTATCTAGCTTGTATCAATTTTGAGCACTTAGTTGTAAAGAAATCATTTACAGAACTGGTTTAGAAATTAGAATCTTTAGTGTTTTCTTGTCATTAAGATTTTTACATATTTAAATGAACATTTTATATAAAAATAATTTTACAGATAATTAATGGTTTATTCTGTTGATTAAAACTAATGTAGAATGTTACTATAAAATAAGTATGTCCAATTTGACAAAAATATCATAGCCCTCTTTACAATTTATTAACTATATATTTCTCATTTATTACTAAAATAAACAAATCATAAATAATACATTGCAAGTACTGTCAAAAGAGATTGCAATAAACTATTAAAAATCTAGTGACATTACCATTAAACATTATTCAGAATAATAGATGTGTCCAATTACAACTCTTACCAAAGTTGTTTATATCTCATATCAAAGTTGTTTACATTTCCTTTTCAAGATTGTATTACATATTGCAATTATGTATTTTATGTAGTGTTATTTCTGAAATGAGAGTAGTCTAAAATTATTTATATCCATCTGTTTTAAAGATTGTTTAGATCTCTTAATATTATTAACTACATAGAAACTCAACTTTCCAAATAAATAATAACGTGTCTTGAAGTAAAACTTTAATTATTTTCTTTTTCTAAAGATTAAAATGCTGAAATTTTATATTAAAACACATTTGGGCTAGAACGGCTCTATTTAGTGAGCACTAGGAAAGGCATATTGCAACCCGCTTCTCGTAATTTTTTATAGATGGGTGAGCAATCTATAATATGTATATCATTGGACGTCTCCTGAACGACAGTGGATGAATGACATTTCGACTAACATAAAGCAAAAAAGAATTATTATTATTATTAGGCATTCCAAACTGAATGACTACCAGTGGGTTTTGACAGGTTATGATGTGGCAAAGTTATGGCAACTCTGTAGGCCTGGTGATTTGACAAGGTGAGTGAAATAGATAGTTACATAGATTGATCATCCCTATTTTTTAAAATAAACATAAGCTTATGCCTTGAAGTAAAAATATAAGCAATTATTATGTTTTAAATATCTTAAGTCTGAAAATTGGTTTTAAAACACATTTTTGCTAAACTGATTCAAATTAATAAATATTTGCCAGGCAATATGGCTGCTCGCAAACGACCAGCTTTGAGCAATTTATATAACATATATGTATCATTGACCCTGTTAATGACAACATAACAACAAGGTTGCCATATCTAAACTGTCAGTACCCACTGGTAGCCATTTGGACAGGTCGTTGGAATGCATAATTCCCAATCTTTTTTATTAATTTACATTTTTTAATGTTATTGTAATACTTTTAAATTCAGTGTTACTAAATACCGATATTTTGACATTGGATACACTTGTTTAAGGTAGAACTTTACAATTTATTGTCACTTAAGCCATTTAAATCTTTTTGCTTAAAATGTATATACATGTCTAGATTTTTATAATGTTTTACATTTTATATCATTTTGACCATGTACTCGATTGTTTGGTACGGGCCGGTATCTATATTTAACTATATTTAATATTTTAAAAAATATCCATTATTATTTACTTGCAATGTTTACCCCATTTAATTCTAAAATTAAACACTAGAGAGGGCTAACTTCGGCAGTAGTGCTGCCTCTATATTTCACGCACGGTCCCTATGGCGCTTTATGTCAAAACGTTAATAAATATTTAGCGCTGAAAACGAATATATTTTTTATATTTCATAACATTGGTACTTGTATTATAAGCATATACAATTTCTCAAGATACATCGTGGCATTTTGAGTTTAAAATTAAATAACTAGAACACTTTAAATTGCTAAAACACCAACAAATAAATCAAAAAACAGCTATCAATGGTGACTGAACTCAGGCGGAGGTGAGCGTTGAATGGGAATTCGGAGTAATTCGGGTGGCGTCGTGCAAACAATGATTTTCAATTGGTGGGTTACTTGGAGTTAAAACATACAACATGCGCAGTGTCCAATGTTACATCTTCGGCCTCTTTTATCTAAGATCATATCTCATTAAATACCAGTAAGTGCAAGACCATCAGGTTCACTAAAGCTTTAACCCTTTCTCTAAGTCGATACAAAATCAAAATCGCTATAATAAAATTGAATTTGACATATACGTCAAATCAATGATGTTCTGTTAAAAGTCTAATTAGGAGTTAACTGTCAGTGGAACCAAAATCACGTTAGACTATTGTGTTTATTTAGGCTCCAATTTTATAATATGCAAAATGCAAGCAACTGTTCTGAAGAATATAGAGTAATGCAGGTCCCTAGATTGAGTAACAATACTTATAACATCGTGAAAAGCAATCACGAAAAGCGACTGAGCTTATAATGACAATAGTGCTTTTCGTCTGATTTACATATGGATGTGCTATCTATATAACTATAATGTCATTGGATCTTTCCCTTCTAGTACACGAGCGCCAACTTAATTTCATACATTTTGAGGGACACTTTTTGAGATAAACAACCATATGAGATTGTCCTCCTTTCTTCTACACTCCATGGTCGGAACCAATCCACAGACCTAGTTTTATGGCTAAAAACAAGAACATCGCCGCCAAATTGTAATCTGTAATTCATCTATAGTTGATTTTATATCTTTTTTGGACAATATAAAATTGCTGTTGATTTAGATGGATTTATTAAAGCTGTGTACAGAAGATAATACATTAAATAGTGAATTCAAATCTTCGTTAAGATGAAGACTTGAGATACCTAGGGACTCTTTTTCAGAAGATGGATAAAGCTGTGTATCGTCCGCATAATGGTGAATGGCACATTTTTCAACAAAGTTTTGAAATCAGACATTACAAAGCTAATAGAATCGATCGCAAAAATTGATAACTGTGGCACCCCTTGGATTACTGTTATATAGTTTGATACATGACCTTCCAAAATTAGTTTATAAGTGCAATCAATAAAAAACCGTGTTTTTAGAAAAATAGTTTCTTCAGTGTAAGTTATAAAAAACCTTGATTGGTTGCTTTAAAAATGTCATCGCTATTAGTGCTGTTAATGGCGCTTAAAACTTGACTGATGTTGAGTTATAACGTCTCGTTGATAAACCTAGTAAACTGATCTTTAATTATTACTTCTTATAGTCCTAGAACCAACGTACAGATTTATGATTTATTTTCTAATAGCTAAATTTATTATTAAATTGTGCTATGATAAGTGTCCAACGAATTCACGAAAGCGCGACGTTCAGACTGGGGCGCTTAGGTATTACAAGTATTACATGTATTACAAGTGGTGCGTGCCTCTCAAATGGCCCAACGAAAATGGTGGAGGAAGTGGATTTTGAGAAAAACTTGAAAATAAATCAGTAAAATTTAATAATAAATTCAGCCATAAGAAAATAAGTCACAAATCAGCACGTTGGCACTAGGACTATACATAGATATATAAATATAAAGTTTTTGTCCCAATGTTATAAAATCATTATTTTTCCTTTAGTTATTAGTGTTTGTTGTTACTGGTTTTTGTTCTTATTCTTTATTATAGAGTATATTTCAATTTTATACAGGATGTTTGAAATGATTGTGACATGTAGTCCCAAATAGGGACCTGTAATGTCATTGTGTAGTGGAAAATTACACCAACTTAATAAGCTTTTAAAAATGTACTTAATTATGTCAAATTTTTTAATTTAACGCAATAAAATTATCCTATTCCACTTTGTACCCCGAAAGTGACCAAAAAACAAGAATTTAAACTTAAAATTTGAGCAGCAGAGTCATTTGGCCAAAAATCAAAATATCTTTGAATTTAGTATTTCTGCGCTCTTTCTATGAAAACAAATTATATATTTAAAAACAAAATAGATATACAGGGTGTTGTTTTGAAGCTGGAATAATTTGTAAAATTTTAACCATACCAGACCTGGATTTTACAAGATATGGATGATAATGTACTAAACGTCAAAAACATCAATGGAGTTGTTTTTAAATTAGAAATAAGAAATGAAATTGACGAAACCTGGATGGCCTTCATCCACAGTTAAAGAAAGTCCGTTCCCCCAATGAATCACACTGTATAAAACTCGAACTCTAATGAAAATAAGGAAATCTGGATATACGTGATACAAACTAGGATCTTAATTTTCCAGATAAGATCGAATTTACGTATATAGAAAGGTCAGATTAAAATCTTTAACAATTGCGTGATTCGTAAGAGCTTTCAAAATTGTTTTCTTTAAAACTGTGGCCTAAATTACTAGTAATTTTAAAAATAACATTTTACCTCATTTTCCATTAATACTTAAATTATTAATTATACTGGCAAGTAAACATTTTGTAAATTAATTTATTACATTATTTTATTGGTACAAAAAAAAAATTTAAAATAAGTTATCCAAATATGGGCAGGTCTCTTAATATGGGCCTTTTCCAATTTCAACTACGAAATTTACGTCATGAGAAAAGATGGGCGCTCTGTCACAGGAAATGGATCCCGCGCAACTAGGTAGTCACATTTTAACGGGCGAACACGTTGTCAGAGCGTTAGAAGTAGCCGTAGAGTGAGTAGGTACTGCATTCTTTTTGTTTAGCAAATAATGTAACCCTTCCTGCAACAAAGAAAAACCGCTTCAGCATGATTGGAAGAAAATAGTTAAAGTTGTTTTTACGCAGACATCCAGAAGTTGCCAAAAGAAAATCACAAAGTGTTAATCCTGCTCGAGCTGCCAAAATGAACAAATTCATTGTCGATGACTACTTTAATACTCTCAAAAGAACGTTGATCAAACTTGATATTATGGATAAACCACATTTGATCTTTAACATGGATGAAAAAGGATGTCAGTTGAATCTCCACAAGCAGCCTGAGGTTTTAACTCGAAAAGGTGCCAAAAGAGTACCACTTATCGCTCCTGAACATGCAGAAAGTGTGTCAATTGTGTCCTGCGGAAATGCACTGGGTCAAGCGATTCTACCAGTGATTCTTTTTAAAGACAAATGCCTTATGACAGAATATCAAGACAATCTTCCTCCAGGTAGCAAGGTTTTTATGACGCTCAAGGGAAGTATGACTTGCGAGGTGTTCGTCAAGTGGATAAATCATTTCGCAGAGTATAGTCCTGCAGAAAATGTACTGCTTATTTTCGATGGAGCGCTATTGTGGCTACCGCTGACAGTCATAACATAGCACTTCTCAGTCTTCCGAGCAATTGTACACATGAATTGCAGCCAATGTAGAAATCAGTTTTCAGAGCTTTCAAATATCATTGGGTAGATGAATTGCAAAGGTTCTGGGGAGTACATTCTTAGCGAAAGCTTACAAAGTCAAGTTTTGGTGTGGTGTTTTCTAAAGTATGGCCTAAGATTGTAACCCCTTCGAATATAACTGCAGGATTTCGTGCTACAGGGATTTACCCCTTTGGTCTCACGATTATTTCCGAAACTGCATATGCTCCATCTGTAGAACAGAAGTAAAAGTTGGAAATGCTTTTGCCAGTTCTCCCACTTTATACACATAAATTGACAGGTTGTCAGCGGATCTCACCGAAATGGACACGATACATTGGCGTACAAAATTATTTTATAGATGTTAATAACAATTTCGAGTAAATAGTTTAATAAATTGTGAATAGCTGTTGAAATTTTGTAAAATTATAATTTGAATATTATAATACATGTTTAATAATTATTTATAATCCATAAATACATGGGATTGTCCGGTTCCGCCGATAACAATTTAAAATTACTTATTCTATGAAACGACACTGGCAGGTAAACATTACTGTGAAATTCTCGGAGCCGCCCGACGTGGTTTGACGTTTACCCCCTCTCTACCTACCAAAAGACTTTTCAACTTTTACTTTCTCTATATTACCTATCCCAGAAAAATCATCCACCTTTAAAAACGCCACTGGAAACTTCTCCACCTCAAGCAACGTCTACTCCCAAGCAAACGCACTTTTTTGTTTGTGAACATATTCTTTTCTAATAAATAAAATATGGATGCCCATATTTGGCACCCGTGTCCAATATAAGACTGGCTGACCTAAAATTATAAAATTTGAGCAATATTGGAATGCTAATCTCTTTATTCATTTCTCTTTCATAGTTATTTACACACATCTGCCCTAGAGTGCTTACCACTTTTGATATTAATTTATGGTGGAAAATTAAGCTTCTTAGAGATAGAATGCTTAGGTATGTTCATATTTGGTCGAGTTACCTTACACCAATATTTGAGCCTAACTCGCATTTTTAGTTCTTCTGTAAAGCTATGTATATAGCTAGCTCTATACTAATAAGGGTCATTTTCCCTTGTCCACGCGTTAAAAAATTACATATCTGAGTATTAATTTGTTATTCGTTATGTGTTAATTTTAAGCTATAAATACATAATATTAGTTTAGAAGGGATCTACACATTTTAACAGGTCTGCTGATATGTCAACGTTCTTATAATTTTATTTTCTAATTCAATAAAAGTGAAGTAAACGCATTTAGATTTTAGTGAGCAACCTTCTATTTTATTATCAATTATAAATACTTTGAATTAATTTGCGATATTCTGATATATTTATTAAAAAGGAGGTTTATATTTTTTGGTATTTATTTTCAGAAATATATTTCATAACAAAAATAAAACAAACAATAGGTATTATTATCTATACATTTATGGTCCTGACAAGGACCGATAATGTAAGCCGTTTTAAGAAGTATCTATTATTCTTTACGGCTCATAATCTTTGAAGAACATTTTAGAACTACGAAATAAAATACTTACAACAATCTAGGTGGATCAATCTCTCCAAACAACTTATAAATACTGTCCTTGTTGCCCACAAGTTTTTCAACTGCCTTGATGTGCTCGCTGCTGAGCCTAATAATATTATCCGGAGAAAGTACCAATCCTTTTGAGGTTTTAGATGAACGTGACGAAAGGCTGGCCATTATTTAAGAAAAAATTATGGTCTAGCTTAGAACTCTTTTAAAATATATATTTAAATAATTGTAGAATTATTTTAAAAGTGTCAAACATGTTTGTCAAAAAGTGACAAACGTCGAAAGTGGGAGGAGAAGATCAGGGCTGGTATATCTAAGGGGGTCGCGCACATACTTTGATTTTCTTTTACTATACGGAGAATGGTCGCACTGCGCAGCTTTCTGAGTGCCTTTTAAAAGGAGATAGAAAACTCCGCCATTTTGATCCTTTATTACGTGTTGCCTACATCTTGGCGCAATATTTTTAATAGGTGCGTTTTAATCATCCGAATTGTCGGTTTTCTTGTTTTAATCTGACAGGTTAAAACGACTAAACCGACAATTCCGGAAGCATAAGCGGATGATTAAAACGCACCTGATATTTGTCAGTGTCAGTCACATACTTTGATTTTCTTTTACTATACGGAGAATGGTCGCACTGCGCAGCTTTCTGAGTGCCTTTTAAAAGGAGATAGAAAACTCCGCCATTTTGAACCCTTATTACGTGTTGCCTACATCTTGGCGCAATATTTTTAATAGGTGCGTTTTAATCATCCGCTTCTGCTTTGGAATTGTCGGTTTTCCTCTTTTAATCTGACAGGTTAAAACGACTAAACCGACAATTCCGGAAGCAGAAGTGGATGATTAAAACGCACCTGATATTTTGCTTGCTGCTGTCAGTGTCAGTGAATATTATTTTTGAAGTCACAGTTTATTGCTAAAGAATCAGTTAGCTCACTCGGACCAGTTGAAAGTTCCAAAATAACATCCACTCCAGTGATACAAATTCAGGATGAGCAGAAGACTGCTGTTTTATTATAGGCGGTTGTCATATATTGTATTATCCGAGTTGCGCAGTGTATAAACTGGAACAATGAGATCAAAAGTGCCGACGCAGAGTGAGCGATCTGATTCTTTAGCTATAAACTGTGGCATAGGAATCAAAATGGGCGCGCCCTATGTTGGGCGTGTCGGACCTCTCTCTTGTACCGTATAGTAATCAAAGTATGTGGGGTCGCGACACATACTTTGATTACTATCTTCGGATAAATTGTGAAAAAGGTGTTCGACAAAATTTTTAGAACCTAAAATTACATGGACAACACCATAGAAGAAGGAATTTTACTTTTATGACATTCTCTTTCAACATTTTTAAGTGACTAAGTACCAATAAGAATATTGTGATGTTTGTTTACTTTAAAACAACAGTTTATTTATTAATAATTTATTTAAACACTTATTTATTTTATAACACAACTATTCTTATTTATATATACTTCGAATGTCTTTAAACTGATCACTATTTATATTCACCACTGTCTATCTACTAATTACTATTTATCTTCACTGTCCATATAATAACTGATTGCACTCTGTTCTTCCACCAATATTTATATTCAAATTTCTAAAGTATGGTGGAGTCTAGAAGCTCCTCCACCAAACTAGAAATATTTGGAATAGACCAGAAATATTATCTCGTCCTTTCTCGAATAGTTATCAAAATCACCTCCGCCATAGTCGTCCCATAGGTTTGGTCTTAAGGGGTTTAATTATGTATAATAATCGGACAAGTTGGGCCTCAAAGGCATTGCTAAGTGCGTTCATCTATCATATCACAATAGTAGTTTGTGCAACAAGAGTGGATATGATGGCCATATCGCACGAAGACGAAATTTGGACACGACGCCGTAGGCGGAGTACTCAAGGGTTTGAGTGCGTTATGGACAATCCATTCGAGTTGTACAGTATATTTTTTCTACGACCATGTGTGTGTGTGTGTGTGTGTGTGTGTGTGTGTGTGTGTGTGTGTGTGTGTGTGTGTGTGTGTATGTGTGTGTGTGTGTGTGTGTGTGTGTGTGTGTGTGTGTGTGTGTGTGTGTGTGTGTGTGTGTGTGTGTGTGTGTGTGTGTGTGTGTGTGTGTGTGTGTGTGTGTGTGTGTGTGTGTGTGTGTGTGTGTGTGTGTGTGTGTGTGTGTGTGTGTGTGTGTGTGTGTGTGTGTGTGTGTGTGTGTGTGTGTGTGTGTGTGTGTGTGTGTGTGTGTGTGTGTGTGTGTGTGTGTGTGTGTGTGTGTGTGTGTGTGTGTGTGTGTGTGTGTGTGTGTGTGTGTGTGTGTGTGTGTGTGTGTGTGTGTGTGTGTGTGTGTGTGTGTGTGTGTGTGTGTGTGTGTGTGTGTGTGTGTGTGTGTGTGTGTGTGTGTGTGTGTGTGTGTGTGTGTGTGTGTGTGTGTGTGTGTGTGTGTGTGTGTGTGTGTGTGTGTGTGTGTGTGTGTGTGTGTGTGTGTGTGTGTGTGTGTGTGTGTGTGTGTGTGTGTGTGTGTGTGTGTGTGTGTGTGTGTGTGTGTGTGTGTGTGTGTGTGTGTGTGTGTGTGTGTGTGTGTGTGTGTGTGTGTGTGTGTGTGTGTGTGTGTGTGTGTGTGTGTGTGTGTGTGTGTGTGTGTGTGTGTGTGTGTGTGTGTGTGTGTGTGTGTGTGTGTGTGTGTGTGTGTGTGTGTGTGTGTGTGTGTGTGTGTGTGTGTGTGTGTGTGTGTGTGTGTGTGTGTGTGTGTGTGTGTGTGTGTGTGTGTGTGTGTGTGTGTGTGTGTGTGTGTGTGTGTGTGTGTGTGTGTGTGTGTGTGTGTGTGTGTGTGTGTGTGTGTGTGTGTGTGTGTGTGTGTGTGTGTGTGTGTGTGTGTGTGTGTGTGTGTGTGTGTGTGTGTGTGTGTGTGTGTGTGTGTGTGTGTGTGTGTGTGTGTGTGTGTGTGTGTGTGTGTGTGTGTGTGTGTGTGTGTGTGTGTGTGTGTGTGTGTGTGTGTGTGTGTGTGTGTGTGTGTGTGTGTGTGTGTGTGTGTGTGTGTGTGTGTGTGTGTGTGTGTGTGTGTGTGTGTGTGTGTGTGTGTGTGTGTGTGTGTGTGTGTGTGTGTGTGTGTGTGTGTGTGTGTGTGTGTGTGTGTGTGTGTGTGTGTGTGTGTGTGTGTGTGTGTGTGTGTGTGTGTGTGTGTGTGTGTGTGTGTGTGTGTGTGTGTGTGTGTGTGTGTGTGTGTGTGTGTGTGTGTGTGTGTGTGTGTGTGTGTGTGTGTGTGTGTGTGTGTGTGTGTGTGTGTGTGTGTGTGTGTGTGTGTGTGTGTGTGTGTGTAACGCATAACTCATGAACCGATACACGGAAAAACACCAAATTTAAAACTTAAGCTTTATTCCAGCGTCTAATGAGCTGATTAGATTTTGGGCAGAGTCGGAACATCTGGGGGGGTACTTTATGGGTGGTCATTTTTATATTTTATGGAATATATCTGTTATTTACGTTTGGGGAAAAAAATTTTTTAAATAAAAGTTACTTCTTATTTTGTTATCTATAATTTTTGTTATTTACAAAATTTTCCTAAAATGGTCCGTATTCGAGAAATTTGACAAAATGTAAAAAAGTATTTTTTTTTATAAAAATTGTTCAAACAAAAGTTGTTTGTAACATAATTCTCTATAATTTTTGTCCCATAGATAATTTCTCTAAAATGGACCGTATTCGAGATATTTGAGAAAATGTGTAAATTTCGAAATTTGAAGAAAACTCAAAAACGAATAAAGAAAAAATCAATAAATTTTAAACTTAAGTTTTATTTCGGCCTGACGTGAAATGATTAGATTTTGGACAAAGTCGGAACATCTGGGGGGGTACTTTATGGGAGGCCGTTTATATATTTTATGGAATATATCTGTTATTTATGTTTGGAGAAGAAAATTGTTCAAATAAAAGTTACTTCTAATATTATTATCTATAATTTTTGCCTTATGTAAAAATTTCCTGAAATGGTCCGTATTCGAGAAATTTGACAAAATGTGCAAAATTCTGATTTTTATGAAAATTGTTGAAATAAAAGTTGTTTGCGATATCGATCTCTATAATATTTGTTCATACATGATTTTTTTTAAATGGACCGTAATGGAAAAATTGTAGGAAAAGTGCTAAATTTAAATTTTTCAGTATTTTCATTTTCAATGAATATCTATAGAAAAATGTTTCGCGGTAGATGTGTGTGGACAATGTATATATTTAGTTTATCCTCTAAACATTTATAGAGATGCTGCAATAGGTTGTACACAATAAACGGAAAAAGCCTGTAATAACTAGATAGGAAAGTCATGTGTTGGACACATCAGATTTTTAAAATAGAATAAATATAAAAAAAAATTTAGTCGCGAGTGGAGAATCGATCTCCGGCTTTTTGCGTGGAAGTCAAACACGCTATCCATGCCTCTACAGCCAATTTTTCGATTTTGGTTTTAATACTCGTAAATAAAATAATTTCATATATGTAGTTTGATTAAAATTTATTTTTTTTTTAAATATGCTTCAAATAAAAATAACAATGCTATTATTTACGATTATTTATCGATTCTACACAAAAATAACTTAGTTTAATGTATATTTAATCATAATAATTAAAAAATATAACAATTAGTTTCACAGGATTGTCACTTATTTAAAATATTAAAAATAATAATGGTTGGATGTCCAAAATATGAACTGTGATTGGTGGATTTCATTATTTTGCATTGTTCTCACTACCTAGAATGGATATGAAATATATTCCTTCAGTTGAACGCAATGACATACTTTTTCGTTTTGTAGTCTGTACGTAGATAAGCTAATATCCATATGGGTGTAGAAAAAATACTATTTATGCCGTCTCCACTTCATATCTCGATGGTCAATATGCATCAAATGCTGCAACTCCGACAAGTCCACATATAACCTAAAATTATATATTTAACCGAATAATATCAGTTATGCCATATAATTTATATTTTTCTCTGAAAAAAAAAAAAAATCGAGTATAGGTCTATTCCAACAACGGTCAGAAACCAGTCACTGACAGGATTCTTGGCACTAGATTATTGGGACCGCCAAATTATCTACTGCGCAGAATCCTGGTGTCAGTGACTGGTTTCTAATCGTTATTAGAACAAACCTTAGGCCAACGTATCCCCCAAAATGAAATTGTATGTTCACTTATCTTCAAGAAAGTTATAAAATATACTTTTTCTACAATCACTATCCAAAGTAGGTTTTTGCGCTTCGAAATTCAACTGCAAAGTTGATGTTTTTCGCGAACTGACA